GATGGAGAGTGGGGGAGGTGATGGGGAGGAGGGAGGAGTGATGGAGAGGAGGGGAGGCAATGGGGAGGAGGGAGGAGGTGAGAGGAGGAGGAAGGACACGGAGAGGAGGGAGGAGGTGATGCAGAGGAGGGGGAGGTGATGAGGAGGAGGGAGGAGGTGATGGGGAAGAGGAGGAGGTGATGGGTTTAGGGCTACTGTTTCAATATTTGTTTCATTTGGTCCCTTCTGTTCCTCCTTCCTGCCCCCTTTTGGATTAAGTCAGTTTTTAGAAGTCCATTTTAATTCAGCTCTTGGGATGCCGATACACATCCTTAAACTTTTCAGTCTACTTGGCATGAATAGTGTACCCATTCACCAAAAATGTAGCAACTTTGGAGTCATACATGTCCGTTTGTGGTCCTTACCCCTCCCTGTACAGCTTTAAACAAGTGTTGCCCACCCCTCCAGTATCTGCCAGCCATCTCCAGTGCCTTCCAAGAGATCTGCTTTTGTTTTCGTTTTGGAGGGGGAGATTTTTGTTAAATTTCTAAATTTGAGATAACTGTAGGTTCACATGCAGTTGTAAGAAATAACACAGAGAGATCTTAAGTGCCCCTCAGCCAGTTCCCCCAGTGGTAACATCTTATAGACTTGGAATACAGTGTCACACGAGGAAATTGACTGCTACAATCCACCTCATATTTCTCCACTTTCACATGGCCTCATTTGCAATTGAGTCTGCCATTTTCCTCCTCATGTAAATTTGTGTAACACAACCATAGTCAAGATACAGAACAGCCTGTCACTCAAGGATCCCTCAAGGTGCCGTTTTATACACCCACATCGCTCCCCCACCTCCCTGCCCTGGGCCACTGCTCATCTGCTCTCCCTCTCTATAACTTTGTCATTTCAGGAATGCTAAGTAAATGGAATCGTATAGTATGTGAGCTCTTCAGATTGGCTTTTTTCTCAGTTGCGTTCTCTTTCAATCCATCTGTGTGGTTGCGTGTGTCGATAGTTCTGTCAACTTAAAAAGCAAATTTACCTGTTATTTTATCTCAAAATGAGTTTATTCGGGAATAGCCAAAAGAATTACAATTCAGGATGTGTGTGCTGTGGCAAATCATAGGCAAGTCTGGAATAACAAATGAGGGGAGCTGCTTTTATAGAGAAAAAAGGAGTAGGGAGGGGCTATTCTAAAGGAAAGTCCATTGGGGGGAAGTAACAGTTCAGGGTGGCAATGACTGCTCATTGGCTGTGCTGCAGCCTTTCTCACTGGCTGAGCTGTGGCATGTCTCATTGGCTGAGCTGCGGCATTTCTCATTGGCTGAGCTGTGATGTTTCCCATTGGCTGGGCTGTTGCTGGGTGGGGAGAGAAATCTTCCTTCAGTAGTTAAGTAGTTTTACTTCCTGCTCAAGATGGAAGCGTTCTCTCTTCCTGTTTGGTGTAATTGATGGTGTGTGATGGTGGTGAGAGCGCCCCCTACAGGCCCTCTCGACCCAATTTCATTAAGGTTTCTTTTATTAATTTTCACAGATCCTTCTTTTTTACAGCTGGGTTGAGGCTCACAGATAGGTTTTCCATTTGGTTGGAGGTCCCACGCAAGCTGCTCCTTTCTTACCAGAAGTGAACACCCCATCCTGTCTCTGTGGCCTTGCTGGGGTGGGTAGGGTCCTGAGGGGCAGGGCAGGGTTGTGTCCCCCCCTCCCCACCCCTGGGTGGGGCTCTGCTGTCTCCATGGGAGGAGGCAGGCAGGCTGAGCCACCTGGAGGTGATTCAGGGAAGGGCACACAGGCCCCCCCACAGGCTGGGCAGCCCACAGGCACCTTTCTTCTCTCCCCATCAGTCAGAGCGGCTTCTCTTCCTAACGCTCTGAGCAGGAGGACATGATCTGGCTGCGTCCTGTCCCTGTCTACCTGGCCGGAAGGGGGCCACTGATGGGAGAGCTCCCTAGACTGCCTGCTGGACTAGCAGACCCCCCGCAGGTGACCCCTGCCTCCAAATGAGCCCAATAAACAGAAAGGCAGAGCCCTGCCTGGACAGATGATGGGCCTCCTGGGGAGACAGCGGGCATGGGGGTGGCTGGGGGCCCCTCACCTCCTCTCACCTCCCCAGCTGCAGCTGGGGCTCCAGGCACCCCACCCCCAGCCCTGGGCCGGGCGATCCCTCCTTGGGCCAGAGCAACCCCCACAGCCTGACATTCTGCTCCTCGGAAAAGGGACATTTCTGGGAAGGCCTCTTGCTGAGTGGACACAACGTCTGGCCGAATAAGGACATAGCATCCATCGCCTTGTCAACAACTTCCAAACCACACAGGCCACCTTTGTCCAAATACAGAGCCCTGGCCTCCCTTTAGGCACGTGGGCCACTGAGCCCCCGAACTGGACCCCGAATTGTCCCAGGACTGTTACAGTCCCTGCACCCCTGTCTCGCCCCAGGCATCCCTGAACATTTGGTCCTGATGGCCCAGGCCCTGCAGGGAAGCCCTGGGCTCCGGGCACACGAGTCTTCAGCTTCCTGCCTTGCGATCTGGGCTGACCCCCGGGCCTCACCCCCTAGACCCCTGAGCTCCTGGCGCCCCACCCGGAGGACCGTCCTCCTCCCAGCAGCCTGGGAGGGCGCCCCAGCTCCAGGACCCAGCAGAGGTGCCGCCTCAGACCTGCCTGCTGAGGACCCTCCCAGCTGTCCTCCGATTCCTTTTTGTAAGCCTCGGAGGACACCTGTTTCCGTTCCCTCTCCTGCTCTTGCCTGTCGTCTCCCTCCAAGGTGGTATTGATTTCAGCCAGCGCTGCTCATCTCTGACCTCCGCTGGGGACAGCACAGAGACCCTGAGGGGGCTGCCCGGCCTGCGGATCCTCAGCGTGCAGCTCTAGCCACTTCCCGCGCCCTGTGCCAGCCCACGGGGTACAGTTCCCTCTGCCGAGGCCTGCTGCCCGCTCACCGCCCTAGCGGCCGCTGGTGTAATAAAACAATAAAAGCTTGTTTCCAAGCGTCAAGGAAGGGCTTTGGCTTCCTGTGGGCAGGGAGCCCAAGGTCAGCGCGGAGGGCTGGAGCCCCAGCTCTCATCTGGCGCCCGTACCACCGTTCCTTCATCTACAGCCCAGCCTTTCAGAGCGGAGCGGGGAGGAGCATCCTGGGATAATCCTAGATGCCCGTGCTTTTGTAAGAAATCATACTCATACAGAGAGGCCCCAGTACCCTTCACCCGGCCTCCCCCTGGGGTAGCATCTTGGAGAAACTCGAGTACATCATCACACCAGGCTGTTGACATCGACACACTCCACTGATCTTATTCACACTCTCCAGGGTCACGTGTACGTGTGTGTGTCTGTGTCTGTCCTGGGGCTGCCCACTCGCTCTTCCCCAGACCAGAGACACGAACTCAGTGGGGAGCTCAGGAATGTCCCCCACTCTCCTCTGCCTCTGGGGGGGCTGGCTCCCTCCACAGGGGATGCCTCGGCGGCTCCCTACACCGCCGCCCTCCCTGCTGGCCAGGGTGGGGAGCAGCAGGGCTGTTGAGCTGGGGGCCGCAGCTGCCCTTCCCCATGTGGTGCCGCCTGACTCGTTCAGAGCAGGCTGCAGGCGGCTGGGGCTGGGGGTCGCAAGGCTGCACCCCCGACCCTGGGTGCACTATCCAGCCTCTTGTTGCCCACCCTCCTGGTCCGCGGGGATGTTAATTCAAGTGAGAAAAGGAGTCAGACCACAGGTTTGGGGGCGGAGGTGATGTCTTGCAGCCAGGGGGACAGTAGGAGGCTGAGCCCCGTGGCTCCCAGCAATGCGTTGCAGCAGGCACTGGAGCGCAGAGTGGGGGTCTCCACTGTGGCTGCTCAGGAGATGTCCCGAACCCTGGAGCCCAGCCCAAAGCTGTCATCTGGACTTCTGGGAGCGAGGACCACGAACCAGGCCCCAGGCTGTCTGGGCCACATGGAACCAGCATCAGGCGCTTGGGGGTGGGGGCTGGAGCATCCCCCTGGGGGAATCCTGTGGCGGGTCTAGGGCAGTATCAGCCTCACCTTGTCCCCTCTTGGACATGAGGGAGCTGGTCAACTGCAGCGTCACGGGCTCCGGCCCAAGGCAGGGCTGGGGGAGCCTCCGTCCGCCTGCCTCCAGTTGGCCGGGCCTGGGAATCTGCTTGTTTAACCCTTGTCTTCGTCTGCTGGGGCTGCCGTAACCAAGTACCACATACAGGGGCTTAACACAACAGAAATTTATTGTCTCACAGTTCTGGAGGCCAGAAATCCAGATCAAGTTATGGGCAGGGTTGGCTCCTTCTGAAGGCCCTGAGGGGAAGTCCGTCCAGGCCTCGCTCCTGGCTCCTGGGGGCTGTTGGTGGTCTGTGGGGTTCCTTGGCTTGTGGTACCTGACTTGATCTCTGTCTTCATGTGTGTGTCTCGGTGTCCTCTTCTTATAAGGACACCAGTCATAGCGGATTTAGGGGCCCACCCTCCTCCAGTGTGACCTCGTCTTAACTAATAGTACCTGCAAAGACCGTATTTCCAAGCAAGCTCACATTCGGAGGTCCCCGGTGGACATGAATTGGGAGGGGACCCTATCCAACCCAGCACGATTCCCTCCCCGTTTGCTCCCCCTTCTAAGGGGCCATCACACGAGCGAGGAGGACCGGGTGCCCGTCCCCGGGCCGCCCCTCTCCTTGGAGGCTGTCGCGGGCCCTGGCGCTCGGCGGAGCAGCCCCTGCCGCACCTTGTCCCTGAACTCTGCCGACACGTAGTAGTAGACGAAGGGGTCCACGCAGCTGTTGAGGGTGCTGAGAGCCAGGCTGGGCATGTAGGCGGCGTACAGGTCCCCCCAGGCCTCGGGGCCCGGGTCCGAGTAGTGCAGCAGCAGCAGCACGTTGCTGGGCGCGAAGAAGGCCACGGCCGAGGCCAGCACCAGCGCGGTCAGCCTCAGCGCGTGGCCGTAGCGCCGGCCCCCGGTGGCCAGCGTGTGCAGGGTGGCCCCGTAGCTCAGCAGCATGGCCGTCAGGGGCAGGAAGCAGCCGAGCACCGCTAGGCAGATGAAGGCGGGCCGCCAGTAGGAGGCCTGGGCGCCGACGGGCAGTGCGTCGTGGCAGAGCACGTGGCCCGAGTGCAACAGCCGGAAGGTCTGCTGCTGCAGTGCCAGGGGCAGTGCCAGGCTGGCCGCCACCAGCCAGGCTGCCGCGCAGAGCCCGGTGGCCAGGCCCCGGCCTCGCAGGGCGCGGGCCCGCAGCGGGTGCACGACGGCCAGGTAGCGGTCCAGGCTGACGGCGGCCAGCAGCAGCACGGAGCCGTACATGTGGCCGTAGAGCGCTGCCGTGGCCAGGCGGCAGGCGGCCTCGCCGAAGGGCCAGCGCTGGCCGCGCAGGTAGTAGGCGACACGAGGCGGCAGCACTAGGCCCAGCAGCAGGTCAGCAGCCGCCAGGTTCATCAGCAGCACGGTGGAGGGCAGCCGAGGCACCCGGGTGGCCAGCACCCACAGCGCCAGCCCGTTGGCGGGCAGCCCCACCGCCAGGGCCAGCACGTAGAGTGTGGGCACCAATCGTGTGGGCACCCAGCCCAGCAGCAGCGCCCGAGAGCTGTCCGGGAGTTCCAGAGTGTCGCTGTCGTTGGCGCAGGGCTGGCCGGGGAAGCTGCGAGGGTGGGGCAGGTGAGGGGTCGCCGCCTGGGGCCTCATCCAGGGCCCCACTGTGCCATCTGGGGGATGGAGGGGGTGGAAGTGCTCAGAGCCCAGGAGTACCCACCGCCCTCAGCCGGTCCCTCCAGGTGGGTGGTGGCGCCCCTGAGGGGCTGCAGTCCCGCCCCAGCTGTCAGGAGCCCCCCCCCCCCAGTTGGGGGGGGGGGGGGGGCAAGGGGGGCCCCCACCCCCGGGGGCCCGGGCTGGGGGGGGGGGGCCCCCCGGGGGGCCGGCGGCCCCCCCCCGGTGGCCGGGGCCCCCCCCCCCCCCAGTTGGTGGGGCAGAGCTGGACATGGATGCCCCCAGCTCCGTGGGCTCAGGTCTGGGCTGGAGGGCCCCTCAGTTCCCTGTCTCACCCTCACCAGCTCTGGGCACCCCCACCCCGTCCCAAAGCAGGGCCTGAGGTCACTCACCATCACTTTCCCCCACACTCCCGCCCTCATCGTAGATATTGGGGGTCTGGGTGTCATTGTCCAGGCTGAGCCCCAACGCCAGGGGCCACAGCAGCAGGAGCGCCCGCATGCCGCCTGGGCTAGGCGCCAGCTGCTCTAGGCTGCGGCCGGCTGACCTCGGGCTTCCTGCCTGGTTGGACCCCCCCCACCCCCAGCTTCCTGAGTGCCGGTGGAGGAGTGGACAAGGCCTGGTGAGATAAACCAGCTGCTGTCCCCAGCGAGCCTATGGGAGGCCTGGCGGCTGGGATCCCTCAGGCTGGAGGAGTGCCTCATGGGTCCAAGCGCTGGGCCAGCCAGACCAGGTATGAGGTCCCAGGCTGCAGCCCCTTCCACCAGCCCCTGTCCAGTCCAGGAAGCCTCTGTGGGCCGAGTGGTCGCTTCCCACTGGCCAGTCACATCTGCAGCCCCCATTCTCATGACAGCCTGGCCTCCAGGTCCCGCCTCTCTGGGGCTCACAGCCCCTCCTGAAGCCTCTGCCCATCTCCTTTCTGGCGGGCAGGACGAGAACCCTGCCACCCCAGGTCAGAGGTCAGAGCAGGTGAGTGACCCCTCCCACCGCGACCCAAGCACCCTGGGCCCTCTGGGGGGCTGCCCCGTCTTATTGCTGCCTCACCCATGTCCCAGCATGGTCCCCCACGGAGGCGCAAAATGAGGTGCCGAGAGGGGAAGGTAACTTTCCAGTCTGCTGAGGGTATCTGAGGGGTCTCAGTCCTCAGCCAGAGCCCCCAGTGCTGGCCTCGTGCTGCCTTAGGGGTCTGAGGGGAGCCTGGCTGCAGCTCCCTCTGGGAGGTGCCCATCCCCAGCTCTTGAAGCCTCTTCTATTCCTGTCCTGGCCCCACCCTCAATTTGGGGCCCCAGGTGTGACCAGGGAGGGAGGTCACAGCCACAATTGAGCCCGAGGGAGGTGGCCAGGCCAGCCCAGGCCAGAGGGCTCCCTGAGCCACCCTCCTGGGGGGTCCTCCCTCCTCTGGCCCCTCCATGTCCCTGCTCCCAGGCGCCCCGTGGGGATGCCACATACACTCAGATGGGGGGCCTACTGTGCGGATGAAGAAACTGAGGCTCAGAGGGGAGAGTGTCCCTTCTGTCTCCTGCACACAGTCCCCACCCTCGCGTGCCCCTCTGGGCCTCAGAGAGGCCTCGAGCCCTCCTGTCCTGGGGGAGCCCTGCACTGGAGGTTCTAGATGGTTAGGGAGCTCCTGTGTGGTCAGGCCTGGGCCACAGTGGCAGGAGGTCTGGGAGCAGAAGGACCCCAAGAGGGTGGTGGGAGAGCAGATCTCAAGCAGCCGCGTCCTGGAGTGGCGAGCCCTAATCTAGTCACACAGCTGGGGACACGGGGACCAGCCAGGAAGTGACTGAGCAGTCCTGGACAGAGTCAGTGCAGCTGGAGGCTGCGGTGCCGAGGCCCCTGCCCCAGCCCTGGGTGGAGGGTGCCAAGGCCAAGGGAGCTCCGGCTGGGGCAGGGCCTCTGCCAGGAGCCTCCCCTATATTCTGAGCCGTTTCCACTGGCACCAGTGACAGATTCAGCCCCGCACCTGCATCTCTTGCCAACGTGTGACCGATGACGTCATAGGAAAACCGGGAAGAGGACCCCTGCTGCCCTCCAGGGGCAGAGCAGGAAACCCGGCAGGGGAGGCTGGAGGCCCGTGGAGGGCGGTTTGACTCAGGCGTTGCGTGTCTAGGAATTCACAGACACACACGTGCAGGAAAGTGTCTGTACAGGGCTATTCTCGGCAGCACAGAGAGCGGGTGTGCATCAACAGCCTCCCCCACGGAAATGACCCTGTGCCAACGGGAGGGGGCCCCAGACATGGCAGGTGGAGGTGCAGGGCTGCCGTCCCCGTCAGGCGACAAGCCGTGTGAGGCACCTCCTAGGGGACGCTGGGGACGGCTGTTTTTGAGGAGAGGGACTCGGCGCCTGCTTTTCTTTAGTGATTTTTTTGTACTATTGGAATTTTCTGTGTATGTCACTTGCCATAAAAACTCACGTTTAAAAAAAGGCAGAATAGTAGCTTTAAAAAGGAAGGAAGTTCTGACACCTGCTACAACATGGATGAACCTTGAGGGCATTACGCTCAGTGAAAGAAGCCAGACACAAAAAGGACAAATACTGCCTGATCCCACTTTTATATGAGGGCCCTAGAGGAGTCACATTCACAGGGACAGAAGGTAGGATGGAGGGTGCCAGGGGCTGGGGGAGGGGAGGGGAGTCAGTGTTTAATGGGATAGAGTTTCAGCTGGGGAAGATGAAGAGTCCTGGAGACGGATGGTGGGGACGGCTGCACAACCACGTGAATGTGCTTAATGCCCCTGAGCTGGACACTTAAAATGATTAAAGTGGTAAATTTTATTTCATGTGTATTTTACCACAATTTAAAACTTTTCAAACGGAGAAAAAAAATGGCGAACAGACCAGAGCCAGCAGCTAGTCCTGTGTTTCCTCCCCCTCCAGCCCCCACCTGGACCCCTGGGGTTATGGTGGGGGGGAGGTCGGCAGACCAGACGCAGAGCCCCTCAAGTCCTTCCAACGCGACGCTTCTTGGCGTAATCGTATGTGCGGAAATCGTATTTTCACGATGTCGTCCTTTGAAGCCGGATGGGCACCCACACGTGCGCTACCTCCCTCGCTCCTGGCTGGGCCTCGGCCTGTGGGCGGGGACAGCAACCCACCAGGCCGGCCTGGAGGAGCTGCTGCGACCCTGACCACCCTGACCACCGGGGGCCAAGGTCAGGCCCAGGGTTTGAGGTCCAGCCCTCCCAACCCTAGGTGTCCTGCACTTCCTCCCTGGGACCCCAAATCCGAGTCTGTTTGCTCAGCTGTCGCTTGGGTTGTGGGGCTGAGCAAGTGCACACAGCCCTGCTCTGGAGAACGTGCCACAGAAACTGGGGCAGGGGCGGAGTCGGGATTCCAAAAGCCGCCCTCACGGAGGCGCTGGGTGCATTCAGAAGACCTCACCCTGCACGCCAGTCCCTGCATCTCACAGCCCGTCCCTGGAGGCTCCTGCTGGGCATGTCCTCCCCCGACCACAGGCCTCCTGAGACTGACTTTAGGTCAACTTCTCTTTAGAACAATCAGCTTCCTTCTCAGCCAGGACATCAGGAGTAAAGTGCTAGTTACACCTCAAAAATAGCCAGCAAGACACGCTCACTCATAACAGCATAAACGTTCAACAGGTCCCCCCGAACCCTCCCACCGCCTCCACAGGCACCACGGGCCGCCCTTCCCCCACTGAGGGAGGCGGAGGGTGGCCCACCGGATCCCGCAGCTGGCACCTCCACAAACTTGAGGGAGGTGGGAAGGGGCAGTGCGGGGCATGTGGGTACAGGCTGCTGTGTGCACGGCGGCTGCCCTTACTGCTGCACGGCCCAGCGCCGCAGACGCAGCAGCTTGGAACAGGCCCTGTGATCTGGCACCTCTGTGGGCGAGGAGCCTGGCCCGGCAGGCTGGTCCTTGTCCAGGGCCTCACCAGGCTGCAGCCTGGTGTCTGCAGGGCCAGGTCCCCATGTGCGGTGGGAGGACTGAGGTCCCGCCCGCCGCTCGGAGGCCCCTCCTCAACACGGAGCCAACGTCTTTCACGGGAGACCCTTCCACCAAGATCATGTCCCTGATCCTCATCAGGGTCACAGGTCCTGCCCGCTCGAGGGCAGGGATTATTCTGGGGTGCCCCCTGGGGGAAATCCCGGGGCTATATCAGAGCTCTCCCCAGCACTGCAGTCCCTCGGGACCTGCTCCCCTCTGTTCTCTTGGGACTGGGCACCACTGCCTGCACCCCAGGACTCCCCACCCAGCGCTTCCGCTTCCGACCGAGGAAGGCCAGCGCGTGGGCACAGAGGGGCCACAGCACGCCCCGACACGCAATCAGGGCAGAGGAATCTGGGGCAGCACTGAGCCTCCTCCACCCAACTTCCCAGGAGCCCTGACCCTCTGGATGGAGGGGGAGGTGGGCACCGCCAGCGGCATCGCATGTGTGGGGGAAGTCACGGGTGGAGAAAGTCCCTGAGAGGCAGCTACGGCCACTCGGGAAGGTTGGAGACAACTCCTGGGGAAGGACAGGCTGGGTGGGCAGGGCAGAGGGCAGCGCAGACGGAGCTCAGGGACCTGGCAGGAGGCCTGGCTGCGGGGTGAGGGTGGGGCCGGGCAGTTCCACCGCGGAAGCCTCAAGGCGTGTCAGCTAAGAGGACGCTAAGCAAGATCGTGGGCTCCCACTTAGCTGGAGATGGGTGTGCAGCCGGCTGGAGGGGATCCTGGAGCTGTTCAGGGAACACGGTGATGGCGAAGATGCAGGAGCTAAGAGGAACGGTGGGGGCGGGGGTTCTGTGGGACCTGGCGTCAGAAGTGGGCGGGCGGGCGAAGGAAGCTGAGTCTGTAAATTGGGTTTTGCACGCACAACACTCAAATGAAACACCTCTCATTTCTAAAAACTGGGTTGGGAATGAATATCCTAGAAAACCCTCGGGAGAAGGGGGCGATGCCCAGGGGAAACAGGAGCCTGCTGCGCAGGCCAAGCCTGGGAGGCCCGAGAGGTCCACATGGATTTGGGAACGGCTGGGCACACACGCGCAGACACTCCCTACTGGTCCTCTGACCCACCTGGCAGGGAGAGGCTGCCCCCCCATTCTCTCACAGGAAATGACTGAGGGAACCCTACAGCTTTAGGCCAATATTTAATTTTTAACTTGAATGTGCAAATAAATAGAAAAGGAAAACTACATTCAAAACAGCTGCAAAGGAAGTACAAGCCCCAGAACGTAAATTCTGCAAAAACAGAAGAGATGCTCCCTAGAAGCATGCAGGGTGGGGGCTTGCTACACCCCAGGCCCACGCGGAGGCATAGAAGGGGCCATGGGCTCCCGAGGGTGGCTGGCTGCCAGCAGGATCTGGTTCGAGAATTCCAATGATAAATTCCCTTCTTACAAAACAAGGGTGCGCACAAAGTGCCTGGATTACACTTGAGAAAACGCGGGCGAGCAGACCCCGAAGGGCACGTCCGCCTTGGAACTGCCCAGGCCCAGAGTCAAAGGCTCCGCAGACCTCGAGTTCCATAGGTAACTCCTAGAAACACGCCTCCACTGCCCGGAATCACATGCTTGGCACAGCTCAGCTGCAGGAGGATGAGGGCTGCGGCCAGGCAGAGGTGGCAGCGTGGGGACTACTCTGGGCCCACCTGTTTTTGTTGGTGGATCCTGCTCTCAGTCTGATGGTGCCAGGGGCCCGGCCAGGGGTTCTCATGGTGCGAGAAGTTTGAAGAGCTGGCCACCAGCCCAAATTCCTTGGCATTCTTGGCACAGAAAGCTTGGCTGCCTCGGCCCCTCACATCCACAGCCTCCCTGGCCCTCAGGCGGGCATGAGGAGTTCCATGAAGGGGGCTCTCACCCCCTAGGAAGCCACAGGATTTTGCTGTGGCAGAAGTTACAACCACTAAGAGAGTGTAAAGGAATAAATACGTGTGGGGTGTGCAGATACGTACTTCTAGAATGTCCATCTTAGGTACAAGACCGCACGCAGGGCCCTCGCAGCATGGGACACTCGAGCTTGGCAGGAGCGTTGGCTCAGAGTCCAGCTGCCAGATCAAGCCGGGGTCTGGGGTCTCTCTTTCCAGAGCAGGGTCTTCCGGCAGTTTGGGGCTGCCTGCCAACTCCACATCTGACTCAAAGCGGAATCCCAACAGTCTGGCTGAAAGGGCTCTTCCCTCTTTCAAAGTGACAGAGGACCCTGAGCACCGGCCGGGCCAGGCCGACGCCCCTACCGTCACATGCAGGGGTTGTCCAGCTTGGGAAATGTTTCCGGAAGCTCTCGGAACCACTTGGGAAAGACGTGCTTTTCAAGCAGGTCCTCCCGGGCCTGACCTCTTTGATGTTGGGCTCTGAACACTGCCTCCTCCCTGGTGTGTCCTCACCTGGCTCACCACTGACTGTTCCAGACCCCGTATGCGCAGAAGGACCAGCGGCGCCCCTGCCCAGGGATTTGGCGTGTGTCGGAAGCTGCCTGGCAGGTGTGTGAATGCAGTTGCTTGTTGCTCAGCCAGCGCGTCGACCCCCTGCTTTCCAGCAGGAAACGAGCCCCCCGAGTTCAAGTGCAGGGGGGGGTCTGGGTTTGGCACAGGACGGGCCCAAAGGAAATCAGAAAGCCGAGGGGGATGGCAGTGTGAGGCCACGGGCCAACATAGCCTCGAGCCCATGGCAGCAGTGCTGAAGACGCTCTGCTCCCCTCAGGCTGTTCATGGAAACGCACCTGGTGGACATCTAGGCCGAGGAAGTGGCCGTGCCGAGCCGTGTGTCGTGGTGCCCAGGTGGTGGCGTCAGGGCGAGGCTGGGCGGCGGCTGTACTGCACTCGGTAGCGGGTCACAGGCAGGCCATGCACGTGTGCCGTCTCGCAGAGCGTCTTGCAGGGCACCATGTCCTCCTCCTCCTCGCCCATCAGCCAGTCCTGTACCAGGCTGGCCGCCTCCACCGTCACGTTGTCCTCCAGCCAGCGGCTGTGCCACTCCTCAAAGTGCTGGTGGTGGCGCAGTAGGACCAGGGGCTGTACCTGCGGGGCAGGGGCAGGGGCAGGGGGAGAGGGCCGGGAGTCAGGGCGGCCCAGGCAGCCGAAAATGGTCACGGGCTGGACCTCGGGACCCCAGACAACCCAGGCTGGGTCTCTCGGCCCAAGCTCCCCAAGCGGCCGTGGGCCAGAAGCCAGGTCCCCAGGTTGGGCGAGGCGGGCACCTGCTTGGCCCGGCAGAGGGTCCCGCGGCGGTACATGTAGTCCTCGGAGCTCACGATGAAGGTCATCTTGTGCGTGCTGAGCCTGAAGCGGCAGTCCACGTTGCAGGCGCTCTCCACGCCCACCAGCCTCTTCCAGGAGCTCTTGGCCTCACCGCGCAGGGCGCGCGCCTGCTCACACTGCCACCTTCGGAACTTCTTGAGGTTCCTGGGGGCGAGAGGAGGCCTGCTGGACGCCTGCTCCAGCCTCGCACGCCGAGGTGGTGGCGGTGGGAACCAGAGAAGGATGTGCAGACTTGGAAATCCTGGAGGCCCATAAACTTGGGGAAGATGTCTGACTTCCCAGGGGTCGGAGAAATGCAAATTGAAGCAAGGAAAGCCACCACCCACCCCCCTTCAATCCAGGGAATACTAAAACCAGCCACCCTCGGTGCTGGCCTCGGTGGGAGGGGGGAGAGGGCCCCCGGCCGCCCTGTTCCTCCTTCTCTGGTCCCTCCAGCAGGCGGAGCACCTCCTCCAGGGGCCCCTCCTCCTACCCTCACTCTCGCCTCAAATTTGATCACACCTCCCTCCTCATTCCCTCTCTGTGCCCACGTCCCTCCCTCTTCGCTGACACATCTCCCGTCTCGGGGACCCTCACCTCTTGTCACCAGTGGGCCTGGGACCCTCGGGACCTCCTCCCCCCAGGATGGTCCCCACTGGAATCTAAACATCCACAATGGCTCCCAATGATCTTCAAGTCCACTGTCTTAACCTGGCCAGAGATGAGATCGGGCCCCGCCTGGCCGCAGTCCACAATCAGATGAGGCGGCCACTCCTGCCTCTGGCCTGATGGCTGCCATTTCTGATAACTTCTCCCTCCGGGCCCTCAGTCACTCCTCTGACGTGCTCATCCCGGGTCTCGGCTCGGCCCTTCAGCTCCCTCAGGTGGGGGGAGCCTTCGTGGTGCCCCCATCGTCATGGGATTATTGCTCAGTTCACCCCTAGACTATGAGCCTCAGGAGGGCAGGGCCACACCTCAGTACACACCAGGTACCCCGTAAATGCTCCCAGACGCAGAAAACAGTCATTTCGCCTCAACGGAGGACAGAGGGGCCTCCCTGGGCCCACAGGAAGGAATCTCGTCCTCTCACCTCTGCAGGAACACGGGCTTCAGGAGGAAGCCCTCGGTGGGCGAGCTGGACGCACCCTCGGTCCCCACATACTGCTCCACGTACCGAGCCAGGTGCTGGGGGACAGGGAGACACAGCCATGAGTCCCTGTGCATCGGGGGGCATGGGCCCCTCCCCAGGACCCTGAGCCCAGGGGCTCCTGGGGATTCTGACCCAACCCCTCTTGAAGCTTTAGGAGGACCGTGACGTGTAATGCAAAGCTCCAGAGTGCAGCCTGTGATAGAGGACTCAGCTAGAGCAGGACCAAGCACACCTAGGCCACGATTTAGATAAATTTACAGAAACGTAAGCTTTGTGCTTAAGTGGAGGAATCCCTACTGTGGGACAACTGTTCTGTATTCACCACGTGGTAAGTTCACACGGGGGGCCCCTCACACAGACCACAATGGGGTCTGCGGGCCAGGGGGCCAGGAACGGACATCAGGACACGAACAGCAGGTGTGGATAGGGAAAGACCAGGTTAGAGTGGGGGGTGAGTAAAAAGCAGGGCGTGTATGGGCCACCCAGGTCCAGGGTGGGCATGGCCTAGAGTGTCCAAGTCATCCGCTCACCACCTGGTTAAAGCCAGAGGCTCCTCCAGACATGAGCTTAACAAAACCACAGTGGAAGGAAACTTCCAGAAGGGGCAGGTTGTGCAGGCCCCCACCCTCACTTGTCTTGGAAAGTGTTTCCCACGTGGGGAGGGCTGAAGCAGGCAGGGAGTGAGGACGCTGTGGGGGGAGCCCGTGGCGGGCAGCGGGGTGAGCCCTGGCCCTGTGAGGGGGCTTGGGGCTCATGGGTCCTGCTTGCGGCAGTGCGCGGGCACCAAGTCTCATGCACCTTTCAGTTTCTCCAGACAGAAAGCTCCTGAGCAGACACGGTGTCCCAGCTCCTGGCCCACAGATCTTCAGCTGCTTGACTTAAGGTCAAAAAGGCAACAACAGAAATCCTATTTTTGATGTACTGCACTATTCACTTATATACCGTTTGACTCCAGAAAACGTTTTGAGGCAGCTGCATGTTGGGAGGCCAACCAATCTGGTTTGTCCAGGACCGACCAGTTCCCGGGACGTGGGGCTTTGGGTGCTAAAACCAGGAATGTCCCAGGCAAACTGGGGGGAACTGATTATTATTGGGGGTTGAATTGTGTCTCCCAAAAAGACATGTCCAAGTTCTAACCCCGGTACCTGTAAACGTGACCTCATCTGGAAATGAGGTCTTTGTAGACACAATCAAGTTAAGATGCAATCAAGTGAGGTCACACTGCAGTAAGGTGGGCCCTACACGCAAACGCCTGCTGTCCTCACAGGAAGAGAAGAGCGACACACAGGGAAGAAGGCTGTGTGGAGATGGAGACAGAGATTGGGGTGATGCGGCCACAAGCCGAGGAATGCCGGGGGCCCCCAGGAGCTGGAGGAGGAAGGGAAGATCCTCCCCTAGAGCCTTTGGAAGGAGTGCGGGCCCTGCTGACACCTGGATTTCAGACTTGCGGCCTCCAGAGTGTGAGAGAATAAGCTGCTATTGCTCTAAGCCCCTGGCTTGTGGTGGTGTTGCTACGACACCCCTAGGAATGAATACAGTTGCTCTGGCCAAGTGACACGCACACAAGCTAGACCCGCTGGAAGGTGATGGAAGAGAAAGGCATGCATGAGCCACAGAGAGAATGAAGGGAAGGAGGACAATGAGGGGGAATGAGGACCCCCCCAGCTGCCTCTGTGACTGTCCTGGGACACATGCAGGTCTGCATTTAACTGTCACCTGACAGGGGGAGGCGAATGGGAAAAAGTCTGCTCCAGTGGAACGTGCAGCTCCAGTGTGGGCCAGGCAGTTTCTCCTGGTGCTCAGGGATTGGGACCTGGAGCCTTGAACTTGAGACACGGGGAGGGCAGAGGTCACACGTGTCAGGGTCTGAGTGACCGCACAGTCCAAAGGTGCAACAGGGATGTCAGGGCATCTGCAGCCGGTGGGAGGAGCCAGGAGCCAGGGTTCTGGGGGAAGGGTGGCCTGGCTGTCACATGGCCCTGGGACATACCCGCTGGCTCTTGAGGGATAGTCTGCAACTCCCGCCCTCTCTCAGCTTCCAAGAAGAGCATGCAGCCCGCACAGCGAGGCTTCTCTGGGCAGGTGTTGTGCGACCTGCGCTTGGCCAGCAGGTGCACGGAGCTTGAGGGGCGGGAGCCCCAGGACGCTGCCTGTGGCTGCTCTCAGGCCCCACGGTGTGCGTCAGGCAGTGCACGGGACCAGGGTCCTCACCTGGACCTCCACGGGGTCCTCCGTCTGGGCCTCCTCGGTGTCCAAGAGTTCGATGGTCATGATCACCTGCCCTTTGCGCTGGAGGAACATCACCTGGGGAAGGCAGGAGACAAACAGCCTTAAGGCACGGGAACAGCCCGGGCTGGCACAGGACAAGGTCGAAAGGTGACCCCCCCCCCTTCGCCAGCCTCCAGGCCCTGATCCTTCCTTGAGGGACCACGTGCTGAACGCCCACCTTCCAGCCCTGCAGCGCCCTATGAGGCTGGGGGCAGCATCCAGAGGCCCAGTAAAAGAAGTGCAGGGTACTGGGGCCGGCAGGCAACCAAGTCATGGTCCAGCCCAGGCACAGCTGCTGGCCCTCTCCTGTTGTGGGCGCCCCCTTCGTACCTCTAGCCCTGCGTGAGTATGAGTGTGGCTGGCCTCTCACCTTGAAGCAGTTCTCGTCAGCCATGCACCGCTCGGCCTTCCACTGGTAGCTGGTCTCCCTGGCAGCCCGGACACAGCGAGAGGACAGGTTCCCACCGGTGGCACCCCGCTTCTTCTCATTTAGGTAGAGCTCCACCACCTTCAGACAGACGTCGTCACTCACAAGGTGGTGCAGCTGGTGGGGCAGAGGAACCAGTGGGCGCCTGGTGTAGGCGCTCCCCAGGTAGAGGGATGCACAGCAGCCCCTTCCACCTCCTGCTAGACCCTGACCTCACCCAGAAAGGATGTGGCCAAGTCCAGGAGGTGGGGATGAAGGCCAGGATCCAGTGGACTGCACAGGGCAATTTCCGTGCCAGGTGCAAGTCAGACCAGACCAGACGAGAGTAAAGCAAACCAGACCAGACCAGACCAGAGTATAGCAAACCAGAGCAGACAAGGCCAGACCAGACTAGAGCAGAGCAAACCAGACCTGACGAGACCAGACTAGAGCAGAGCAAACCAGACCAGACCAGACCAGAC